TTGGAGCAAAGACCGCTGAAGAAAAGAAATCCCATTCCCATTTTATAATTGTTCATCCCATTCCCAGTGGCTAAATCCCAGTCCCAGTGAGTAAATCCCATTTTCCCAGTCCACAATAAGGCTAATCCCAGTTCCCATTTTACCCCTTCACGACCCTCATCATAGGAGTAAGAAAAAAGCCACCAAAAATGTATTAAGCGCTAGATTTAATTTAAAGAAGGCAATTAAGACACACAGCACTAAGTATCTGTCAAGCACTCACTACGAATTAATTACAAAAGTGTACTTGGAAAAAAAAAAGAAAGAAGGAAAGCAAGAAAGAAAACGGAAAAGAAAAGAAAAATAAAGACTGTGCAATCGCTTCCAGTGTTTGTAGCTGGACTAGGAGAAGGTCTCTCTAAAACATGTCAGACGTTAGATGCGTCTTGACGACTTTAACGTCCCTTGTAAAAAACGGCAAATTATTGGAAACGTTTGAAAATCAGAGACTTGTACCACTTGTGCACGGAAGAGTTAAGGATGGCGTTTAGCAGCCAGGGACAGTGAAAAGGTTAGCTTCATCTCAGATGCCATATAAAATACGTTAAAAATAAGTAGCGTAGGCAATTTGCTATTAATGGTGTAGTTGATGCGTATGTGGATTGTAAATTCATTAAATGATGTGTGTGTTCAAGTCTTGCACACTCTATTTTATTCTGCAGTTTCTTCCTTCCTTTCTGTATCACTAAGACTTTTTTCATGCATTTATAAAGTGAAGACTACAACCCATTTTGAGTTGTCCATTCTTGCCACAACCCATCGCTGATAGTAGTTTCCAGGTCCTCTCTTTTAAAATTGAAATTTCTGTTGACCAGTCTTTGGATAACACTGGTACATTTCGAAATGCCTGCACTTTGAATTGATGGAAAATCTAGGACTACTGGGTAGGTTTCTATGAATAAATTTAACTTAATAGTAGGGATTTTTTCCCCTATACTCTGATCACCTTTGACGAAAATGCTGATATTGAAGTGTTACTGAATCTTAGACTTCGTGGCCATGTTGTGTTTATCTGAGCGGTAGTTAAAACAAGCAGATGACTTTGTGGTCTGCTCGCGCGTAGCAAGGGAAAGATACCAGTTGTTTTATTTTATTCCGGGATGTAAAAGTTTCATCACCTTTACTTTGAAGGAGTAAGTGACTCATGCTTCAATAAAATTTACCGATAGAAATCACCATGCAACGTAATATCCTTTTCCTAAGGAGAATACAACAAATTAAATGAAGAAAATAATATCGTTCTCAGCTTTAGGTCTTTAAAGACGTTTTCTTCGAAGATTTTCTTAGTGCATGAGAACAATTTCCACACAGGCATTCTTTGCATATACAAGACTACTTGTATTTGAAAATTATACCTCGATGATAGAGAAGAAACTAATTGTAGCGAACCGTTAACGTTTATTGAAACCTCAAAAGTCTGATATTACTGAGGTGGACAGATTTAAACTAGCAGTCTTCTAATTGATGTACGAGCAGGACATTTACTGTAAACCAGTCGATGTTCAATCCTACAATAAAACGATATGAATAGCGGGTATTTTCACAGCAAATCCCCCTTGTGTGATATAGAATAGAGCGTTGCGCGATTCACGTCTTATAAGTGTTTCTTAGAGTATGATAACGGGAGTGCGATTCACCTAGGAATCAACTCCGTTTTTACTAAGTCTTTTTTCACCACTCAGCCAGTGTTTGTAATTTTCTTACATTTAAGGTATGCCCGTCTCAACAGAAAGTAGAGAGTAACGGGCCGCGCGTGTTAAGCGACGATCCGCTTTCAGTTGTAGACGTGCAATTTAAACTAACCGTAGCACATGCTAAGCGAAGAACGTTGTTTCCAAGATACGCTAAGTCAAGATAAATATTTCCCATTCTTTAATTCATTTTGATTGTCACAGAAAGTTGAACCGAAGCATTAAGCTTTCCAATGTTGTAATAAGTTGGAGACTAATTTTACTTTCATTGAGAGTGTCTTTGTTGTCCGGAATACTTGTTATTTCGGAAAGAGAAGAAATTCTTGCATTGAAGATTTACTTGAATGTAGCTTGTGTTAATAACACCACGTGCGCAGTTGGATATCTAGAATGAACATTTCCGAGTAATTATGACTCCGCTTATTTTTATTCTTAAGAAACTGAAATAACCCATGTGACGTTCAAAGTTCCCAGCAATCCTATGGCGTCGAGGAATTGACTCAGCTGGTGGGGTTAACAAAAGGATCTTTTGTCAAATCGAGCGCTGATTGGCTAAAAACGCTGAACGTAACAGGTTATTTATTCGTATGAACCGTCGTCAATATTTCAGGCCAACCGCGCATTAGTTTACAATTTAACTGTTAGAATAAAGGGGGAAAAGCCGTATGAGGACCAGAGCATTATGAAATCAAATTCTTGAGATTTTGACAGGCAGATCTGAATATTTTTTCGCATGGCATTTTCTTCAGGTATGAGAAAGGGTAAATTGTATAATTATTGTGTAATATTTGCCCGGGAAATACGGCCGATGATTGTTTGAGAGTGATATTTGATATAATTCCTCTTTTCACGACACGCGCTAGATCTTCCGATCGAGTACTTACTGTACCGAGTTAGTTTCACAGCCATATCGATAATACATTACTCTGAAAGATTTTTTTGACCGCTTACTTCTTTCTTAATCTAATTCCAAAGTTCTCCTCAGCTGCCGTCGGCTGTTTAACTCGGTTTTTCTCGAAAATACGGCGGTTCGCAACTAAAAGCGTGTGCTGTACATACGTGTTTGTTTGAATCTCGCTTCGCTTCAGTGGAATTGCAACGCGGAAGCCGTGAAAACACGGCATTTTATCTCATTTTACGTCAAAGTTAAATCTCTGTCCGGAAAATCATTTTTAGTTTTAATTGTCACAGCGACCGCATCCATTTTCGTGTTGTTGAATTTTGAATTGCATCTACTTAAGGACGTAATATTAAATTAACAATTTGGAGATTCCTTAGAATATAGTTCGCAGTAAAATGAATATTTTGCCGTAAATGTACGTTTTTTGTCTTTTCTAGCCATTTAGTCGATCTCCTTTTGAACAAATCAACGTGATATCAATCGAAAACAAACTTTTATGCAAATTTAGACGCTTGGTAACGGGCAGGTTTATTTTGGAGGTAAATATAGTTGGGAAAGACCTCCTACACGATCTAATTTTGATGAAGAGAAGACAAAGTGCTTCATAAGATCAGGGGACACATGTCATGCAGCCTTAAAATCCTATTTTTGCCACAACGTACTACTTGATTGGTTAAAAAAAGTAACAATCTTTATTCATTAATATTTTTATACGTTATTGTTATAATTATTTTCCTTTAACAATGCCTTGACCATTTACAGACAAAGCTAGAAGGTAGTTTTGGTAAAACTGTATCACTCTTAGTGGATAAAAAATAGTATTATGACAATTGCTGTTTTGGCACTTTTCAAGTCGTAGGATAATTATTTAGCCTCTCTAATCTAACTTAATCCGAAGTTTTGAATAACAAAACCCAAAGCACTTATATTCATTTTGTATAGAGTTCATCACTTAGAATGTTTCGAATTTATTCTAAGGTCGAAAAATTTTATAATTAAAGTGTGGTGCAACTGCCGAGTTTATTAATAGTTATTTATAAGCCGTAAAAGCAGCTTTACAATGATTTTTTAAATAATTATTCCTGCCTATTATAGTCATTTCGCAAAAGTAGTAATTGTTAATAAAAGTTATACTAAGCAACTTTTAATCGTAATCAAGACTGATATTCAAAAATAATTCTCTGACAAACTTCATAACATACTCGCACGTAAAAAAGTGGAGTTACGCTCCATTGAAATACACCTGGAGTTTCTGGCATAGTGTCACGTTCTAAATTCGAACGATTATTGAAATTGCTTGGACTCCGGCATGTGAGCTGTGTTTTAAATAATAATATTTATAATTTTCTTGCTAACCACATTGCAAACCAGGGTGGCTAAGAAATAAGCCCCAATCGATACATTGTAACTTAACGCCCGAATTATTTCCCTTATTTATTTCACCAGTAAATACTTAAAGGCGCAATATTTCCGCTGTGTTTTTGTTGTGTGTGACATAATGATCATGACTTCCTTGAAAATATGAAACGAATACATTAAAACTCGAGGTTTCGATATTGATTAAGAAATAAAGATCCCACATTTGCGTGCACAAAACTTGTTCTGAGGAGAAAACAGAATCAATATTACGTCACAGTCAAAGACAGTGTTGGGCTAGGCTTGGCAAGAACGAATCTTTTCCAGCCAAATTGGAATTTATATATACTCGAGGATTTTGTCGATTGTAAATTATGGGAGATTCTAAAGGTGAGAGTTATTTCATCGCTTTTCGAAACTTTAAAACATTTGATCATCTCTTAAAATTAGCTGAGAACAACTTGCGAGAGGAAATGAGTATGAATGTATTTTTATATCGAGTAGATTTCTCATTCGGTTAGATCCTTACGTTACTTTTACGAAACGAAATCCTTTGTTTCCCATTTTAAATATCGTCGTATTTCAGTAGCTTTCGAAACGAACGTTCACCCCGTTTTACTTTGATCGAAAACATGGCAGTTTTACGTCTGTATCTGTTATTTCTTCATCCTAGTGTATACGAAGCAAAAAGTTATATTCCGCTTTCGTTCAAAACGATAAAATTTGGCTTGTGCTCCGTCGAAAAACCCTTTGTTTATAATTTCAAGAAAAGGGAACATTATTTTGCTACCTTGTTCCTTCGAAAACTGGCAATTTATAGTTCTCCTTTTCTACACATATTCTCAAAATAGATTCTATTGACTGATGGCGCTGTATTAGTCCACAATTGTCGGAAAATGAACCCCAGAGATTCTTTTTGTCCTAAATCATAAGACGTGCTCGATTGTTTGGTTGCTCTAGCTGGGTGGGAGAATGAGCTAGATTTAAACAACCCCGAAATGACAGAATGCTATTTTATTTCCCGTCATCTTTATAATTTACATCGTAAACTGACGAGCACGCGATTGGCCAAGCAAGGGAGCGGAATAATTATGATATTTAATTATTCCTTTAGGGTAATGCTTTATTTCGAAAATATTCAGGAATTCCACGATTCTATTAGTGAGCTTTGAGATCTTCCAGCTGATTTGTTTCGAAATCTGAGACGAACGGGACATTCGTTGAGCGAGTAATCGGCGAGGCGTCGACGACTTTTCAAGAGATATGATATAGTTCGGCCAGTTCTTAAATATCATCGCGATTCAAACTGTGTGTTTAGTGATGTGAGCAAGTTGTGTTGGTCTCCTAAATCGCAGATTTATTGTGAGTAGAACGATTTCATTTATTACTGGCTTATTACCACACTAGATCACTTTCGAAATCGTTAAGTCCTAAACATGGATGCAGACAAGATTTTAGCGGCAACTTATTGCGGGAAATTGCAAGATCAATATGAGTTTCAAAACGCTTTTTAGAGCATGATTCAATAATTTGCATTTATGCCACGATATTGATTCCTAGAGGACGTCTATTGATTTTGATTTCCCCTAAAAAATCATTTTTGAAATAATGTGAGTATGAAACGTTTAATTATGTTTTTTTTTTTGGTGTTGTGACAGAGGACCGCGAGGCCAAAATGCTTAGCTATAAGAGCGTGGAGCAACTGGAGGCTTTGAGCCGTAAGTATCTTAAAAGCAATGTTTGAATTTTGATTATTGTTTATAATATAACTCAGTACGTACGAGGAAATATAATATAAGTTATAAATATTCAATCGCAGTACATAATGTCTTCAAATTTCTAAGTATATTTTTGAAAGTCCAAAGATTTCTTGGATTATTTTTAGAATTTTCTGGTCAGAAAATGGAAAGATTTCTTTGATCAACATAGCCAGGCGAAGTGACCTCATTTTTATGCAAGAAAGGCCGTAAAGAAAGCATGTAGCTGTATTTTGCTTCAATCATTTAGTGCAAAGGCCTCAAAAAAGTTAAAAGAGTTCTGAAAGAAAGTCAAACAACGAAATAGCATGTATTGAAAAATTCAATATTTTCCAAGTCAAGCCATCTTGTGCTTCAGTTTTGGGTCTTCTCTTTGTTGCAATTATTCTTTGTAAGAAACCTTAATTGAGCGTACTTAACAGTATTGATTATGGAATATGTTATTACATTTCTTCTTATAGCTTCAACTAGCCACACCATCAAGGATCACGAAACGGTAATTAATAATGTATTTAACAACTGTAAAATCTAGACAAGTTCTATGGCTGATGACTCAAGGCTCGACTTTTTGAAAATGGAACCCACTTCGTAAGATGCGAAACTCACAACTAAACTACAATGTGGGTTCTATGTGGTTATCAGAATAAATACTGAACGTTATGTAATATAAAAGCCCTTTGTGTTAAAACATAACATTGTTCGAGTCAAAATAATGGCAAAGGTTTATCTTTTAAGCGAGTTTTCATGCATGATATACTTTTCTCAATGTCGTTCTTTCTTTTTTAATTTATTGAAATCCAGGGCGAAGTGTTTATAACATATTTAAGATTCCTTAATTGCTTTTCATAAATAAATTCATTCAGTTTGCTCATGCTCACATAAAGCAATGTGCCCTAAACTGTTCGAAAAAGATCAAACCTCAATCCAGTTTCAATTAAATCTCTTTTTTTTTTTTCATCATCTAGATATAACTAACGGCAAAGTTGCAATTTCATAGAAACCGAAACTTTTGTCTCGTTGTTTTTTTTCTCTTTTTCTACAACCTGGAGTAAAAATAGATCCAGAGCTGCAATTAATTTTTGGGAATTAAAAAGATGATCTGTGCTTTTATGATGATGTTGGTGTACCTATCACCCTTCAAAGACTGAAAAAAAAAGTGACTAAATTTATTGTGAACTTTATATTTGTAAACAAGCTTAATGTATCGTTGTTCTCGGATACGCCTAAACACGCTCGATCAATTCATTTCTAAGTGGACGTGATAACTGTACAGTAATGTAGATGAAATTTCCTTTTTCTCTTCTAATTGTACTAGATTTTAAATTTAATTTCTGCATACAATTTCTTGTAAACAAATTCTGTATTTATTATTTATTTATATCTACCCCGACAAAATTTAATTTTATATTCCTTTTAATATTAAAATAATACCTTTGTTACAAAGGACTAGATTTGCTCTAGCCGCCTAGATTAGCACTGCTTATCAAGCGACGGAGCAGTATGCAAATTTTCTTCTTTTGTAATGTTGACGATAAACTTGATAAACTTGAATAACCTTAATGCTAAAATAAAGGTTTCTCTGTCATTATAATGGCGACACTTCTAACAGAAGTCATCATTGTCCCCAGATCACACGTGAATAGTGAAAATTCCATACAAAATCTACGATATCTATGGACAAGAACACAAAACTCTAAATAACAAACGTTCTCAGTTTTCCATTAGTTTACAAGCAGATATTTTCCTTAATTCCTCTGCAGTGAAACCAGTTGAAGTCAGGGTCACGTGATCTACGATCATCAAGAGACGTACAGTTGAATCCAACATTCGGCAGATGTTGGGATATGTTAAAATGTCGAGGTTAAAGCCGACTATCTTTGCTCTGAATACGAAAATTTTCTTTACATACAGCAGAGAAAAAATCATTTTCACAGTAACATACATCAAGATCAACGCTGACAATAGCCAAGAGAAGGCGCCTTATTTATTTGATAACTAGACTATCAGTCTAGTAACACAGACGTGACCAAAAGTAACTACATGTGCGACATACATAGACAAGAACGCTGGACTTAAATATTACACTCAGTATCTATCCGTCTATCAGTCTATCTATTGGTCACGCAGCCCCTTTGCATGGACTAATAATGGAAAGGCCCCAATACTGTTTATTTCATCCAGTGTCTTCTTGAGTTTGGTCAACACTGTAAAATTTCTAGGCATTGCAAATTCAGAGGAACTGACTTGTGATAAGTGTGTTGTCAATAAATAATAATAATAACAATAATAGCGAAAAAGTAACTTAGAGACTGCGTCCATGTTGAACAAAAGGCGTGAATCTTTGAGACGCATGAGACGCAGTGTTTCATGTAATATATCAAACATGAGACGCAGTGTTTCATCACCAGATGAAACACCGAGAAGAGAGTTGAAAATACAACGCGCAGCGGAGTATTTTTTGACGACGTTCCAGGTGTTTTATCTGGTGATGAAACACTGTGTCGATCGCTTGATATTACCTCTCAAACGAAATGATTTTTGAAGGAGAAATTAAGGATGCAAAAATGAGCAGTTTTTCATCTGATTACCAAACACTCATTAAACATATATTTCCTTTGTATTTTCTTTTTGAATTATTATTATTTAATGAGTTTGAGAATTCAATTTGCAAATCCATGCTTTTTTTTCAATTTTGCAATCATTTATTTTCAGTTGATTCAAGAATTGAAGAAAGAAAACTTCGATTTAAAGCTGAGACTTTACATGGAACAAAAAGAAAAGGAGGTGAGTCACTGTGGAGTGGGAGTACTAATTTGGTTGCCATTTCGAGGTCGTGGATAAGACTGGACCGGTGTCGTGTTGAAAAGCATTATGGGATTTTTCACCGAGGCCCGACGAGAAAACAATAGACCTTATCATTCCTTCCAAATTTTCTTCCTTTTCATCGGCCGAGAGCTCACCACGTGACCTGCAAATAACTGCCAACAAGTAATGGTCTGCTCATGCGCAATGTCGTCCAACTTTGTTTCGCTGCGAATAATATTTTGCTACTGCGTAAATGAAACCACGCTTTTCTTCTTTTTGCCGTCGCTCTTGCGTGAAAATGGCAGATCTATTAGCTTCCCAAAGATATTCAATAAAAAAACAAACTCGGTGATCTAATGATAAAACAATGATTGAACTCGGTTGTCGCAAAATATCGTGATTTGTCAGTATCTCGTAAATCAGTCATTTGCCTCAGTCTTCGGCTTCGGCCAATAACTGATCTGCTCGCCACAAACAAATCACGATATTTTGCTCAACCTCGTCCACTAATTGTTAATCATTAACGATACCCTCCATCTTTGCTCGCCCTAGAGGACTGAAGGGATAAAAGCAATGTCACGTGGTTTCTCAGCGGCAAACAAGCGATAAAATCTGCAAGTGCGGGAAATCGCGTTCGAGTTTGTTTCTTCTAGACAACAGAAAATGAACAACTTTTCATCTTTTCATCTTCTCATCACTTTTAAAGACGATACTTTTAAAGAAGATAGTGGCAAATTATGGGTGGAAGTGTTCGTTGTTACTTATTTGGATGCAGTTGCCAGTAGCGACCGTAGACCTCACAGCAAACGAACTCGAAGTGCCGTACATTTTGCATTACTATTAAACCGTCACTTGTTAGAATAAACAAACTCGACCGCGATAACCTGTATTTGCAAATACTAGAGAATTTAAGCTTCACTTATACGGCTAATGGCAAACGTTAGATTCAGGTTGAGAGTTTCTCAAAATAGAAAATGAGCAGATAGAAACAGCTCAAAACAATTCTTATGGATAAAAAGTTGCATGAAACTACTAATTCATGTGTAGAAATAATGGACAGTAAACGAAGGGAAACTTGGTTACGTGGCACAAATTCGCCTTTGCCGTTTGACGTAAACGTGATGCTTAACCTCTCTCGTTCAATTTTCATCTCGGCATCGATCCTAAAGCACGCGCAAAGATGGTGAAGGCCTATTACAAAAGCGAAGCAAAGGAACTTCAAAGCTAAGATTGCTACTATCAGTGTTGTAAGTGTAAGATATCACTAATATGCTGTTGATTTACAAAAAGTTTACTGAAAAAGGTGTAAGTGTTTGTAAACTGAAACTGCTGTTATGGTCGGCGCCATTTTGCCAGCGTAAGATTTTTTCTAATAATAATAATAATAATAATAATAATAATAACAATAATAATAATAAACAGAAACAAACGAACATGAACAAGCAAATGGCTGGATACTTAAGAGGTTATAATTAAATGTGACAAAGCAGAGCAAGTGATTTTCCAGTGTACTACTTTAGATCGTAGTTATTGAATTGTGACAAAATGCTCTCATGCAGTATTTACCGATAACTTGTTTATTTTACTCTGACATAAATGCCGAAATATGGCAGCTGGAATGCGTGGTACAATAGGCCATTTTACAGTAGTGTGCTCAGTGCCCTAGCCTTTAAATTGAAGCGAGGCTGGCGGTGACCTTGTTTTGTAACAAACCTTCTTGTTTTTCATATGTAAATGATCATGTTCACGGGCTTGTTAGCATGAGAATACCACGATTTGCACATCAAAAACAGGAAGGTTTGTAACAAAACAAGGTCATTGCCAGCCTCACTTCTTTTCACAGGCCAGGGCACTGAGCACACAACTGTAAAATGACCTATTGTCGTAGGAAGTGATTTATAAAGTAATCTAATGGTAGTCGAATGAAGTTTGCAATCTAGGACCGACTATTCTTTTTCTTTTTCTTTTTTTTGTCGCCAAAAGTTTTTGCACATATAGGCATCCTGAACTTGCTCTTTACTGTGGCCAGTTGTAACAATTGTCTCAATTTACTTGATACAGAGAGTAACAGAGGACTTCAAGCAGAAGATAATAATTTTAGAAAGTGATCTCACAGAGGCTCTAGATGAACTCAGCGACGCCTTAGAAAGAGAGAAAGATGCCGAGGCTTGCCTGGAGAGCTCAATGCTCCGTGAAAAAGCGTTAATGAACAATGCGCGACGTGTTGAGGAAACTGTACGAGAACAAGAAAATGAAATCAAATTCCTCACTTTGTCCAAACCGAGAGAGAAGGCGAGTGAGAGACCGCTGACATCTGACGCCGAAACCATGACCGATTTTCCATTTTACATGGAGAGGGCGGTGGATGTTGGCGATTATGGCGCGGATAATCAGCGACCGTACAGTGATATCGATTTGAAAGACTCAGCAGGGAGCCCTTCCGCCCTACAAACAGAAAATAGGCCTGAGGGAGTGGATCTGTTGCATAGTACAGGAACTCTTCTAAGGAAGAAGAATGAGATTATTAGAGAAGCAAAGCGAAGACGCACAGCGCGATCTAAAAAGGGACAACGTAGGGATGTGAGCCGACGGTATAACCTCGATCCGGACTATCCCGATAAGACCCGAGAACGTGGCGAGAAGAAGTCGTTTTTCAGTAAATTGTGTTGTTGTGTCAAACAGCAGGGTGCTGAATACGAAGTAGATGACGAACTGGGCAAAACGAGAGTACGCTATCACAGATAGTAATGAAATACCTTTGGTTGCTGGGGTAAGAAATAAATGTCTTACTAGAAAAGTTCCCAAGTATTTTCAAGGAGGTTACGAACAGCAGTCGTCCAGGCGAAAAGGAAAATTTGCTGTCGTTACCAACTTTTATTTGATCGACTTTCATGATGGAACTTGAAATCTGTGTTGGTAAGATTTCATCCTTTACTTCTATGAACAAACAATGAACTTATTTTTAGACGAAATTAAATGTAGTTTTTTTGAAGAATAACGTTGAGATAATCTGCTTGTAGAGGGATGAGTATATAAATTCTAGAAAAGCTACAATGGCACGAAGACTTTTTTAAAAGTATTTCAGCATTCTTTTTGACCAGATAAAATTCATCCCAAGCATTTTATGATTTTATAGATTCACTGAAGTTTTTTCTTCATGTCAAATGTATTAACCATCCATACAACAGTATCTGGTCATTTGGTATTGTTTTTGTAATGGTATAGACGAATCTTTGTTTACACTTTTTGCCTCATTGACATATGCTTCTCACTATCTGATGACGCTAATAAAATAAAAAGTCTGAATGTTGAAAAGACATAACAATTTCAGTTATCTCTGAAAATTTGAGCCCAATACACCGAACGGTTTCGGAGAAATTCGCTTCTACAAACTCCAAATTTTACAGAGAATGTATGGCTCATTAGTTGAATTTTTTGCCACCCAGCAATTTCGCAGTTTTTGATGGCCGATATTTCCTTCAATATTGCTTGCAAAGAGCTGAAAATTGCGCAAATTGCTCGACTTAATCAGCTCTTTCAACTTTTGCATTTAGTTTGTATATACGACCACGGCTCCTATGAGTTAAGTAGTATGCTAATAAGGAAAAATGTAAACAATGACGTCAGCGAAGACTCGTCTATAAGCTAAGAGTTTTACAAAGTAGCTACAAAGTTATTTCCCACCGTATTCTTAAGCCATGCGTTTGCCTTAATTGCACGGTTATTAAAACGGCTTTTGCACTCACATTGGGATAGGACGCTTGGGTACTAGACCACATTATCCTTATTGGGGAATACAAATTTATGTTAGTGGAATTTGTCCTAAAAAGGATTTTGTACCCAGTTATTTTGTAAGAAGCCTCATGCAAAGGGTCACTTTCGTACCTCGTATATAATCAGATCATAAACAAAGTAGAATTTATAATCGTAAAAAATAGCCATGCATTTTTTCCTTTTGTACGATCCCATTCAATTCTACGAAACCATACACAACCAAAAAATAGCATCAAGTCAAGTGGACCAGGAAACGCGTTTGAAAAGGCGAACCTAGTTTAGAATCTATCATTTTCATCCAATTAAAATACGCTGTTTAACACCGGCCAAAGAGCATTTTTAACGCGGCCCGTAAATTCAGGCCGAAGGACAGGTTTAACTTACATTTACAGAGAAACAAAAGGAAGTTTTTGAGTGGATGAAAGTGGCGCCAGATTTTCCAGCCAGTCACATAGCGTAGAAGTGTAAACCAAAGCAATTAAGTCATCTGATAATCATTTTTCAATCTTTCTCACAAAAGAGTGGAACCTGAGTACTTTTAATACTCCAACAACCGCGGGTGCCTCGCTGGTAACCGCTTGATAAAGGTTCGAAGTGAAGAAGTGAGGAGAAATGTTGGATCAATTTAGCTTCCTGGGAAACTGCCCACCTACCCCTCCCCTAATCCAACATTTTGCACCAAGTGAGAAGTAAGTGTTAATGTTAACTTAGGGAAGGGGTAGGTGGGCAGTTTCCCAGAAACCTTTAAAGTGACAGGTTCACGGTCCAGCGCATGCTCATCAATTAAATTACTTTTTTCCAATTTATTATTAATTCTATCGTGTAATAATCCCACTCACATGTATCTCAGCGATCTCAGAGTGTATTCCAAAGTAGAAGTGTATTTCAGAGTGACCTGAAGTAGCATGGAGGTGTACTAAAATCGAAGAAAAAACCAACACTGCCAACGTTGAATTTACTGTTGACCCGAAGGTTGTAATCCATGGTTAATGAATTTATTAACAATTAGTTCATGCGTCAGCGTGCGTATGTCGAGATATTGAGCACGCGGGAAGTTTGGAGAGCACGAAAGAGGCGTAAGAGTTGCACGAGGCGCAGCCGAGTGCAACTCTAGCCTCTTGAGTGCTCTCCAAACTTCCCAAGTGCTCAATATCTCGACATACGCACAGCTGCAGCATGAACTAATTGTTTTATAACATTATCAAAGCGATCAATGCTGCAGTTAACTGAAAATTTTATTATTGAAGGGCGCGCTCAAAGCAGTACGCGTCAATGTTTACGTGAATATATCTTTTTTCCTCACAGTTAATCTTATGTTTTTATCCTGAAACTGAGAGAAAGTGTACTCTAAAATGATTGTAAAATCCATATTTAGGTGCCGGAAAACTATTAATTTACCGAAAAATTGTTATTGAGAGAAAACAACTTTGCAAAGAATGAGCTCACGCCATAGCCCGCACAGCTCGCGGAGATGACAACAACAACAACAACACTCACCTCTTTTCCTTACTATCGGTTAACAAATTCAAACGTTTCCTCTTAAATTTCTTTACAAAACACATGGTAAACGCTTCATTGTCTATTGCTGAGTTATGGATGCACTCAAGAGACTCAGGATTGCTAAGCTCACAACAACTCGAGGAATTACGAATAGTTTATTGACGTCATCAGCGTGCTCAATAGGAATATGAAGCACGCTCGCGCTATTGAATTTGATTAGGCGAATTTTCTAGCTATGTTATAACAGCTGTTTGCGCATAAGTTGATCAAGTGACTGCCAGGGAAGTGTGCAGATTGGTTCTTTGACAACATTATGACATGATCATATTGCTTGCATAGACGATACAGCTTGTTTAGGGAGAAAAAACGCATTTTGATTAATGAGCATACGCTGAACCGTGAAACCTTGAAACCATTTAATACGGGGATTCCCAAGTGCACGTTTTAATTTGATGCAATATCAGGCAATCGAAATCACCTTCAAAGATCAACTGAAAACGCTTCAATTGTACAAAGAAAAGACAAGTAAATCTTTAGTTTTAAGGTATTTTTATTGACAGCCTTGCTGTACGCCCTGATTATTTTTATTCAAGGCACTATACTTCAAATTTGCCGTATCCATAATACGTATTTCAAACCGAGGGTAGATTGTCATTAATGAAAAAAGCTCTACATGTGGTGTGAAGAGTAATTAAATTGCCATGGAAATAATTGTTTAAAACTTTCGTTTGTACATATACAGAGATCATTTGAAATAAATTTATGACAAAAAGTCTGAACGTTTTGACGTCCTTTGAGCGCCTTTAGTGTTGAGGCATCTTCAGATTCCGCGAAATAAATTATTAGTTATAGAACATAAAAACTCTGTGTGTTTTTTATAATGTGACTTTTTTTTTTACTGTAACGATTGAACTTCCTGAGGCACTGTTAATTATGCTGCACAGGGCGGTTGAACTTTCCACTCTACGGAGAAAATCGCGAGGTGGGAAATGAACAACACTTTAAGCGAAACGCTATTTGTAACCTGCTTGTTTCATTTTTAAATTTTTCAGTGGAAAATTTTAAATTCTTTAAAGATTAAGCTTTTGCCAATTTCGAAGAGAAGTGATACTGCCAATTATTTTCAGCTCAGTTCTGAGGTTACAAGGACAATTGAAAGCACACCTAAGATATATTTAATATACGCGTAAACAAGTGTTAGCTGCAAATGTCCACCACAGGAAAAAGATGATTGTTCCTCTCTTCCTCTGTTAACGGTTCAATAGGTCGACGGCAAACAATGTCTTTGTCTTTATAGTACAACCTGTTGGAGAACAATTGATAACCAAAGTTATTCTCAAGAATATTGTGAAGCTTAGCTTGAGTTCTTTGCTAAGTATCATTTGTTCCGGTGACAAGACAGGATAGAATACGGTCGAATTTTTACTAACGGCAACTTCGCTTGTCCCGGCCTGGCAGACAGTCAGGAAAAGGTTTGTTTATTGTGGATGTGCTCTTACATTACCAGACAGTTTACAGGCACAACACTCAAATAATAATCAAATATAGTCAACTCCCTTTATAGAGGACACTGTAAACACCTTGAGTTAGTGTCCTCATTAGCAAGAGTCAGTAATAGAGGGGGTTTATCTCGGTCAAACATCTCTAACATATTCTTCCCTGGGATTTATCTGCTGTCCGTGTTATCGGGGTGTTCGCAAGGCGAGAGTTGACAGTACTTATCCACAGCATAGCGATTTATCCTTTCCATTTTGCTATCCATCCCTTGAACAACCGGGGCTTGGTTTAGTCCTCCCCCCCCTCCTCCACTCCTTTTTGCATACTAGTCACTAGTTATTGACAGCTTCGACCAACATACCTAAAATCATGGCCCTTTAGGCTCTTAAACTTCTCATGTTCCTGATCCGCTATAGGCACCTTATTCCTCTCCAGTAACCAGCCCTCCTTTTCAAAAGGTCCCGGGTAAAATCCTCGCTTCTCTTCTTCAGTGCATTTCCTCCTTATCGGCTCTAACCTCCCAGTTTTTCTTGCTGGCGTATCAACGTTGGGGTTTGCAACGACTCCAACTGAGGGAATTTCCTCTAGCGTAAGTCCTGCTCGCGAAAGCGATAACTTTTTCGGAGAGTTTTTAAGAAGTCCTTCCAGCTTTGAAAGCTGGTTAGAGGCCCTAGGACCGCGGTCCTCGAGTTCAGTTTCTGGTAAACAACGATGCGTGCGAAAGACAATGTCGTCTACCACAATTTTTTCCCGCCACTGACGCGTAAATGCCAATGCTGCGTCACTCTGTTCCTGCTCTTTTGTGTCGCCTGCCGCGTGAACAGAGAGCATTGGGTTCTTGTCGAAGAAGGGAGGTGGAACAGAGAGTAAATTCAGATCACTGTCACGATACTCCCATGGAAAGTTTTCCCTGCAGGGTGAAGAAAATAAAGTCTCAGACTTTTGCCTTCAAAGACGTTTAACCTTTGACATCTCCATCAAGTCCCGCCGCAAGCATGCATGCTACATGCAAGAAAAATACAAAACGACTACAAGCTACATGCAAACCACGTGCAAGCTCAAATTAGGAAATAAGATAACCAGATGGGATATTTTCTCATGACGTCAAGGGTCGCCATGTTGTAACTAGATTTGTGGGAGTTACGCTTTTTTAAGGGGGGGGGGGGGACCAGTGAAAACGCTTAATATTTTGCAATCGGGAATCGTGCTACATGATGGTTCCGGAAAGTGAAGTCCCAAAGAAGGCTGTTGGTATGTCGGTGACTGGGGCTGAAGTGTCCAAAAATCTGGGCGGTCAACATCGAGTACAAATTTCTCACAGCAAATCAGAGGAGCAAAGATTGCACTCCTAGCAGTGAAAGAAGCTTTAACTACATGACTCGTGTACTTACCTGTCTACTGTAGGCTTCAAAATGTTGGCGTGCAAAATATTTTCTTTCCATGGCTGAGAAGAAAAGAGAGGAAAAGACATGTTAATCCTATCATCCGTTAAACCGTTCTCGAAATTTAAATTTAAATTTTAACTTGTAATACTATCATTGGTTGTCTTTACACTAGGCTGTTAAGTAAGACTTAAGAGTTGCTAAGTTTTACTTAACCAAAAAATACGTGTGAAGGCCTAACTAAAATCTCATTCCGACAAGTAACCTTACTTTGCATCCCATTAAAGTCGGAAAGTTGAAACGATTCAAGAAAGTTTCAAGTGACTTGAAAACCATCCTTAAAACCGACTTAGCGAACTTGCGTTTCTAAGCTTTGAGAAAGGCGAAGCATGTCAATCAATCTTAATTATTTTGTGTGGGAAACTAGGCTTAAGTAAACCTGATGTAAAATAGATAGCTTGAGTGTTGAAGCTTTCTTTCAGGGGCACTCAACGAGAATATAGTTCAAACAACTTAAGCATAGCGTTATTAAACGTATTTTAGTATTTAAACGGTAGATATAGGCATATTTTTATCCCCTAAAAATTTTTCATCTGTTCGGATTTCCTAGCTGAAAGTCTAGTGATCCGAAAATTATAGGGATCAAAACTTACCTTTTCGAAAATTTCAGCAAGAAAAAAGGCTCCCGAAAATTTTAGGTGACCTTTTTAGGGTAAAAATCCGTTAAAAATGGGCAATTATACCATTTTTTAGAAGTTCGAAAATCCTAGGAGAGGCAGGCAAGCAAGAAATTTTATAACAAATGTTCCGAAAATTCTAGATCTCAAATCGTCGTCCGAACAGATATTTTCCGAAAATTGACGTTGGGTGCCCCTGTTCGTTTACTTGAAGAATTTACAATTTACTTCTCTTGAAATATTTCTTAGCTTATTTAGGCTCTAGTATAAAGACTACCATTGAGGTCCCCTCCCTTTCATCCCACCACCAGGCCATAAATGCCAGTGTACATCAAGGTTTGAAATAAGCGCTTCACCGCTCATCAAATGCGGGCTTCTTAACCTGATAATGCATTCATCAAAACGTTGCTGTAGTTTTAAGTTAGCTTTTTCTTTTGTAAAGGCGAGACAGTGCCAGCATATTAATTTCTTACCACTCATAACTTATTCCACATCGAAAGAAAGTGTAAAAAGGCAAGGACTCCCCAAAATCTTCGAGTTTATTGGAACTCTTGAGATATGTTAGTGAACTTACGAAACAGAACGGGAGAGGAAGAAGACGACAAACCTTGTGTGACAAGCGTGACAATAATTTTATTTTAAAAAACTTTCCGGCAAACTTCACCCTCTTTTTAACAGATCCTATTGTAAAAGACCAGAAAGCATTAAAGGGAAGTAAAGATCATAACGAAACGCGCAAGTAATAACCATGTCACGTTTGTCACACACAAGCGTTTTGCCGTCCTGTTGTGTAAACTCACTATTACTACCATTAGGCCTGCTGGGTAAATTGTGGTCCAGGTAGCGGACAATTCTCGTACCTTATTAAGTTCGTCCACCCGAGCTGAGTCAGGTTTCTTAGGGTGTACGTTTGAGACCATCGAGGTCTTTTTTCCAGGGAATATAAATCCTTTATTAGTTCTCCAGAGTGCTTTGGAGTCTGTAAGTTCTTGTTTCTTTACAGTCTGTGGGTGAATGGGGAGAACTGTAGCAGAGTTGTATAAAGGGCAGTAGGTAAAACGTCTATCTTTCTCCTACGAAGGAATAAGTAAAATTAGCTTATTCAAGCGACGATGCCAAGTTTACACCTTGCGAGCCGAAGTGGCCACAGCCCGAACTCCTGGACTAGTTAAACTTGTTTTCTCTCGTAAAACTGGTTTTTTCGAGTGCGAGCATAAGTTTGTTATGCTATGTGGTGAATATTACGCGCGCTGTGATTGGTCGTTGCCCTTGATTTATTTAAGTACAGATATATGGATGACGACAAAGGTAATCAAGAAATAGGTGGTAATGATCGGAAGACAGGAGAAAAACGCGGGAAAAATAAACCGGCGCCAAGAACGGGTAACCAAGCAACATAATAGTGAGGGAAGGGTAGCGCACAACGGGTTTCATTTAATTACATACCCTGGCTAGGACTTCTCTTAGCTTTTCTTTGGCCAGTTCAGTAGAGTTCAGGGTCTGTATGCTGTAGTTATGCGCAGTGTATTGATGAAGATCAGTCATGTCTACAGCAATAGTGTGCGGTCTTCTTTTAGGTTCTGTTGTACGAGTCCTCATCTAAAGTAAAAAGAATTTGAAAAGATAGCTCATTACAATCCGCAATACCAGACTTAACAGAATCAAACGCAAGTCCAAATATTGTAGAACGTTCCAGGTGCTCAGATAGTAGGGACGTTGCGAAAACAAGCTTAGCGGAAATAAGACGCGCGGTATCTGGGGAAGGAGGCACGCGCTTAAGGACTGATGGGATAAAAGCGACGTCACGTGGTTTCTCCGGGGGCAAACATGGGATAATTTTTTCCAATACTAGAAATCGCGGTCAAGTTTGTTTATTCTTGAGAACAGAAAATGGACAACTTTTTATATTAAAGACGAAAATGGCAAATTATGATTGAGAGTGATCATTTTTACTTGTTTGGATGCAGTAGCGACTGTAGATGTCCTTACAGCAAGCAATAACGACGTCAATTTTGTCGAAACTCAAACCGTACATTTTGCGTGACTATTTAATCGTCGTTTCTTTTCAAGAGAATAAACAAAGTCGACCGCGATTTCTCGCATTGGCAAATCTTATCTTTTGTTTGCCACCTGAAATACCACGTGACATTACTTTTATCCAATCAATCCTAAAGCACGTTCAAAGATGGCGGGTGTAGTGAATAAGGTCTATTCCGTGTTCAGATACACCACCATCAGCCTTCTCTCTCCCCAGTCCCAGCTCGTCAACTACGCCTGGCAAATCAACAAACGTACCAATAAAAATCTTTTTTATCAGCAATATTAAATATTTGTTTTACTTACAATCTTCTCTTTGACGAAGTCATGTTTAACCAGTTGACCCTCTCTTTCCTTAAGAAGTGCAACATAATCAGTGTTGTAAAGGGACAAGGGTGTCCACGACCGAGTTGTCTTGGGTCTAGGGTCCTCCAGCCGGTTGCCTGTACCAGCCTCTTCTATTTCGGATCCATTACTGGACTCTAGTTCTAGACGACAAAAAGAGCGATACTTGTCAGCGCTCTGTTATACTGTTTAAACAGTTTTGAAATGGTATGGTACGGTGGCTTACAAGCACATTTAAATATACTGTATATAGCACAGCCACAATTCACGGAAAATAGAAACAGAGCGAAATAGAACGAGTGCTCATCACGGCAATATACCGAGAAATCACGGAAACCCAACGAGTAATCAGGAAAAACACCGAAAACTCACGAAAACAAAACTGGGTCAACTAAAAGCGAAACACTATAAGAGTTCACAGCAAAACTGACCAAGAAATCACAGCGACACAACGAGAGCTCGCGGCAAAATATTGAGAACTCGCGGAAACGCAACGAGTAATCACGAAAAAACACCGAAAAATCACGAAAACAAAAATAACTCTGAACTTGAATACGGCAACACAACTACAGCTCACAGCAAAACCAACCAAGAAATCACAGCAACACAAGGAGAGCTCGCGCCAAAATACTGAGAACTCAAGTAAGTGAAATCATTTGTCGGTGTCCACAGCGAAGTGGGAAAAGGATACAGCAAGGACAAATAGATTTTAGCAAGGTGCGCAGGCCGTTGGAAATGTCCTGAAAAATATTTCAGGAAGATTAAGAAGGAAAATACACCAGCATCATGCATCGCAGGGAAACAGAAGAACTATAGAGGGTTACTTACAAAAGAGTACAGGAAAAGTACAGAGTGAGCCACTTCAGACTTTAACAGGTTCTTTGAGTGTAGTTCCAAATAAGTAGAAATCAGAGACTTTAAGTGATGACCGGGCAACTCTGTTACTCTGAAGATGAAAGACCTCTTCGCAGCGAAAGAAGGACGGAGAAAAGCAGAGAGAGATGAAATCTGGAAAGCAGGATGCAAAATAATAAAGTGAGTAACAAGGTCGTATAGCAAGGAAAATTAGAACAAGAGCAGTTTAAATGAGATCTTTCGTGCCCACACGTTCCTGGGCCTCCATCTTTGGTGTTACACGCCGTGTGTCGGCCACCGGCCGAGGCACCTGGCGTTGAATAGCCTGCGAACTGCAGACGTATTTCCAGTCGTCGGAGGGAGGGAAGCGACGACCGAAAATACGTCTGCAGTTCTTAGGCTAAGCGTTGAAAGGAAAGATTGCTTTTGAGGAGGTTGTTAGACGCTTCTTATTTTTATCCTTCCCATTACACTTTGCGGTTTCTGTTTCCAACAATATAACGAGAACTAGAAACGAGAGCGACTTGTAAGTGTTTTATGCGCTGGAGGTCATCATTGGCAGCCCATCTTCTATGAATGATTACATAATTCTTCCAAGTGGAGGTTTTATAAACACACATGCTCCTTAGAAGAGTTACACACGATGTTATCAAGGTATGACCACAAATCTTTAAGTAGAGACATGCTTACATGTGTCTTTAACCAGGGTTTATTAAAGAAATTGGCCAATGAGGGTCAAATGGGTCCCCTTCTGTAATTTTAGGGCGCCCTTTTTCAAGAAAGGGAACGAAGGTTTATTGACTCTTTGCCGCCATTTTGGAACATTCTGGGCAACTGAAAAAGCCTGGGCTCGAATTACTGCGGAATCGCGGATGTTTGTCTTTTGAAATAATGACTCTAACAAAGAGGAGAAAGACAATTGATACAGTAGGAGGCTACAGAAGTTCAAAGTAAATTTATAGAGCGGCCATCAAATCAGTGTTGTTGTCAGTGATGCTTTCTAATACTTAAAAAAAAATAGTGCTTATCCTTGGGTCTTTTTTTTGGCGCCTCATTTAACGCGGCAAGGAAAATTTTATGCGGCATTTTGTTTCAAATTGCGGAAATCCCGCAAGGCCGCGCTCTAGAATAAACCCTGTTTGACCATGATAATAACTTAGATCACAACTCTGAGAAACTGTGAAAAAAGAAAATTACTTCCAAGAAAGCCAAGCTTAAGCGTGTTTTTCACTTCCTTTCTTTTGCTTTTGCAAGGTGACTGAAAAGCCGTGAGAAGTGCAGCAGCCCTATTTGCTCCTCATCGACTTCTGTAAACGCCATTAGAAATGCAAAACTACTGCTCGAGATCTACAAGTCACCTACCTCCGAAATCCTCTGCAGTCAGCGGCACTCCAAACTCTCGGCTTATAGACACAATCATGTCTGCTGAAGGAAATAAGTCGTTACGAGTCACCTCTCGGAGTTTGGTGACTCTTAACATCTGCAAGAAATATGTGGCGATGACTGTTAAGCAACAACACTGACTATAAACTTGTTCCCAGCGTCATCTTAAGAGAGAGGGCCTTCATAATAAGGTAGAACAGTAATAAGGATTAGTTAGAAACTGAGGAAACTACCCGCATTAAGGGGTGCTTAGAGAGTAAAGTAATTGATGTAAGTTAGTAAATTTAAACCAGGTCTGTGCTCTAGCAGAGCCCGGTGGTTCCTGGCGCCCAACTTTTGCTCCTGGACGACTAAAAAATCTCAGATTTTTCATACAAATCATATGCTGGACACTCTAGATTTACAGGTTCAGAGCACTGGGCAACCTTCAATTTTCCTTAGAGCACAGCCTTGTAAACACTGTAGTGTAACGGATATCATCACCACAAACTGAGGCCATGTCAACAAGAATTCAGGCATTTTTGAACCAGCATAATTTTTATCCGGATTCGTGTGGACCGTAGTCTCTTTAAGGGTCGTCACGCAACCCTCCTAGGAGCGTTGCGTGATGACCCTAAAACGACTGCGAAGGAGACTATGTGGACGGAAACTGAAGGAGAGCGCTTTTAAAACAATATGGTTACGGTGACCGGATTAACTGGTTTCGCGTGAACGGTGGGCAGATTGGTGTTTAAAAGTATGCGTTTTCAAAAAATACCCGGATTCATGTAGACGTAGCCTAAGTATGTCTTAGAGACCTTTAGATTCGAGGACGAGAACGACTACGAGTACAAGATTTGACTTAATGTTTTGTCAGGTATTTTCAAAACATAGACTCCCCGGAAAGTTTCATTTTACCATTTTTCACTAGAAACGTTAGCTCTGTTATCTTTATTGAAGGGGGTTACGCTCTTTCCCGATCGCAAAATGATAAAAGTTCTAACATTTGATACTTTGTTTTCGCCACAACCACATACGAGCGCTAAAAGGCTCGTAGTGGAATGACGACGACTACCACGTTTTCCCGCCTAAATGACGCTACTTCTCGCGCAAGCACTACTTAGTATTCAAATCTCATACTCGTAGTCGTAGACTCTAAAGGTCTCTACTGTAACGACTTTTCCTGCAATTGCAGACAGGATATATAGCTATTTTATGAAGGTCACTCAAACAAATCATTGTAGTCAGTTCCGTCTCCTCACAAGCCCAATGCTCAATTGCCAATAACACATTTTCAAAATAACCCTAACTGAGGATATTACAAGGCCGCGCGGAGCTACGAAATTTCTCTTCTCTGAAATACCAATCCTTTTCAATTTAATAGTTCTCTTGTCGTTAAAGGCGCGATTTGTTATGTAGCCATAGCAACGGGGATCTTCTCACGTGCGAAGATAACATTTTATTTTCAAACGTGAAGATAATCATGTTTTTGCGCTAAAGCTCACCTGGTATTTCATTGGTGGTTATTTTATAACACCTATGTTAGTTACTACATAATAGTGCATGAAAAATTACGTAAGTATTTCGCAACAATATTAAATCTGTCGCTTCCAGTGCTTAATAGTCAGGCTTTTTCCAGACCTTACCTGGTCGAGTTTGGCCAATGGTTCGAAGCAGGGTTTCGGTACCAGATCCCTAAAGTACAGTAATGGATTTTGAACTATGACCTCGAGTGGCTCGTGAAGTCTAACTCGGCACAAGTCTACGTCGAGCGCTGCTTACAACCGCTCGTGAAACCGCAGAGCAGAATTGTAAAGGACGTTAAACTTGCTGGTATCTAAATGGCGAAGCAAAAGAATGACCAACATCAATTTTCTCCTAACACTATCCATACATCATCTAGAGAAAATGTCATGAGAATTTATGAAATGATCACCTGAGGAAAAATGCATTGATCCTTTATCAAATTCTCTCAAATGTATGTAATTCTTTGTGGAATAAGCTGAGATCAGTCTGGAGAATTTGTATGTGGATATTGGGGCCTACCTTCTTCCTGCGGTCTGGGTAGTTTATCCCAGAGTTTTTTGATGGCCAGACCTTCTAAAACAAACACGTGGTACTGTCTATCAAGAACTTGAAATCCCGTTTTAATGTCTAAAGTTTTGCTCTTTCGCTGATCTCTGCGGAGAGACAGTAACCAGACTAATTGATTACGACTGTAGAACTCTGTCTGCTTAGTTCCCAGTCGCTCGCGTTCACTTCCCATCACCCCCCGCGCTCTGCGCTCGTTCCCATCATTCCCCTCTCGCCCTTCTTGCTTGCAAGCCTTGGGAAAGCCTGTGGAGAAAGCAAGAATTCTGTGATAACCACAGACCGCCTAACCTTCAAATTTTTCGGATGACTGTTTTTTTTTCCTCCTTAAATTTGAACCGCGAAACGACGAGAGATTTCTCGCTTGCAAAGTACGAGCCTCGTACGCGTGAAGGCTCCTCCAAGTCCCGCTTTTCGGCTATTTTAGTTCTGGAGTAGCGTGCAATGCAGGCGTATTTTGGGGGGGCGAAAGCTGCTTGTTTATGATCGTACCGTTGTAACCGCCATCTTTGACCATTTTCGCCTCTCATTTCGAGTTTCAACATGGCGCTTTCTTGAGCAAAACATTCGCGCGCCTAAAGTCTGGAGTGAATATATGGTAAAAATGCAGCAAAGCAGCTGGAAGTTAAATATCAGAATCAGACATAAATCCTCCAAGAATATTTTTGTGGTGTTCAGAAGGGACTGAGTAAGTCCTTTAAAATGTTTTTTTTTTTTGGCTTTCCCCTCAAAGATACCTTCTAGTTCTAACCTTGAAAGTTTGTACGTTGACAAAGCAGCCTCGATCACATGTTACGGCAGTGTGTCTAGTTCCAGGGCCCCGGCATTGACCGCTGTAATTTCAAACTGCAGTTTGGCGAAGAAACAGCGCATTTTTGTACTCAAACATGTAAATTATACGACCAAAGGGTCACTGCGAAAAGATTAAATAAGCACGTTAAACATATCGCATGGTTTGGTCTCCAAAGTCAAACAAACCAAGAGGGATTAGCTTAACATAGAGGGCAGCGCGAAGTTACTTCAAGTTGCACATATACAGCCAAAGATTCAAAAGAAATCCGACCTTCCAGCACATGAATACAGAATACCAGTCCACACGAAGATTAACGGTCATGATATATTAATATTGTATCATTGTGAATAAGAGGAGGGAGGAAGCCTTAAAGAGGAGGGAGCGCAGTGACATTCTTCTCCTAAAAGGGAAGGGGGGTGGGGGCGGATAATTAGAAAGGGAGGCTTAATAGAAGATTTACGGTATTATTAATGAACTCCGACTTCAGTATCAAGGGCACCACTGGCTGTTGCTGCCGTCGGTCCATTTATTAGCTTACTGTATTGTATGCGTGATAGATAAAATAATATTCATCCTTATTACCAACAAGACGCTGTGTGAGCGTATATTTGGGCAACGATGTACTAAGCGTGTGTGAAGATTTTTGCGTGTATTATGGATGTGTAGGATGTCTGAGTAGGTCTGTAGCGTTTTGTGTTTCAGGGGGTGGTTGAGATTCAATTAGTGAAACTGGTTTCTCGTAGAATTTCTTGTGAAGTAACAAAGAATGATTTTTTGGAAGTTAGGGCCTGTCTACAAGGAGAGAAGGTTACCCTTGTGCTAGGGTTACCCTAGCAAGCGGGTTAAAGTTAGCTCTTTTTTACAAACAAATTTCACGGGTAGGGTTACCCTATCATCCGGGTCAACTTTACCAGCTTTGCTGACGTGTTTCGTCATGCGTGACATTCTTTGTAACGTTCCAACATTTGAAATATCTTGAAGTTCTCTATACGCTGGACGAAAAAACGGATTTACCCCTATAGCAAATTTGGAGCAAATCATCTGCAAATGCCACATTTGCTTAATTTTGCTCAATTTTGCCTTATGACGTAGGACCAACTTTGCCATAATTTTGCATTAGTGGCAAAGGTGGTAAATGCCGAATTTGCCTCAAATTTGCCCCGTGTGTAAAAACAAGGATAACCTTTACTTTATCAAGGCATTTACAGGGGTGTCAAACGTGATAGCAAAACTGACATTTGTCAGGTTTTTGCCCAAATGGGCAAAAGCGATCGAAGATGAATTTTTGAACGCTTTTGCTCTCTATAGAAAATTCGGTCAAAGTAGTAATTTCCCACATTTTTGCTCAGGATAGTAAATCTGAGCAAAAATTAACTTTATTTGTGTTTCGCCCAGTGTAGTAAATGAGGCCAAATTATCACTTCTTCCGTATCTTTGCTCAGTGTGGCAAATATGTTCAAAATAGTCGTTTGCCACTGTTTTGATCAGGGTAGCAAATTTGGCCAAATACCACTTTATTCTCAATTTTGTTCAGGATGGCAGATATGATCAAAACAGTAGTTTCCCATACTTTTCCCCATTGTAGCAAAGTTGATCAAATATCAGTTCTTCTGTATCTTTGCTCAGGATGACAAATATTGCCATGATAGCAGTTTTCAATACTTTAAGTAAGGTAAACAAAGTTGATTAAAATATCACTTTTTTATACTTTCGCTCAAGATAGCAAATTTGATCAAAACATCATTATCCACATGTTTCTTATTTTTATTTGGTACCATAAATGACTGACAAACAATTTAGACACCAAACAAAATTTCAAGAATAAAATGACTTTATTATCTTTAATATACACTGTACAATAAAAAGCAAGATAAATTAAAAGAAAGTTCCATTGGCCTCTGCAGGGCACTGCATGTACCACAAAATATATGCCTTTAAATAAAAAGCACATACAATGTGAAACTAAGTTCATACGTGTATAAGAATGTACATTGGGTTTGAAAGTACAAGTCAACACTAGCTGGTTCATAATTATCTAAGGTTGGTACAGTAAAACGTAACTCCATTTGAGTGGTATACTTCAAATGTACTCTTTCTAGATTCAGTTGATACTATTGGCAAATGGTTGTACGATGACAACACGTACACATCACTCCCAGTGTAGATGTGACATCCTTACTAATGGACAGAACATCAACCGCAGGAAATAAAATTAGCCTCAAATTATTATGATA